ATTTGCAGCACGAAGTAACGGCGAATGCTCCGATAAAATGTTTGCTGTTGATCCTGGTAAGCTTTTTGTACATTTACGTTCAACGTTGATTTTATCTTTTGCGAAATTTAAACAGCATTTTTAGCAGTACGACCAGTCCTATGCCCAATGCCTGGCGAAGTGCCATTTCGCTACGATCCTGTGAAGAAATATGAACTATACAAGAAAGCGTGGACTGCAAACCCACCTCCTGGGGAGAAGAAACGATTGTCACTGAGGTGGAAAGTGCGCGAGTTTATGTTGCGAAAGGATGTGTCCAGAATAAAAGCGTCTGATTTAGCACGAAGAAGAGTCTCAAATCCCAGTTGGTCTCCGCGTCCCTATCACGATTAAGCAAATGCTACTGTCATTTTTTAGTAGCACTGATCAGTTGATGATATTAACACTGTAGATGATTAAAAAATGACATCTTATTTTTAAAATTTGTTCTAATTTCTGAAGCCTGGATTCTAATTAGGTTAACTGCATGAACAGTTGTTGCTTCACGCCTGCCTTGTGCGCTCAATATCGTAAATCATTGTAAATTTTGCACAGATGAAAATAAACAACTTCCGCTTTGCGGTCGTTTTTTGAAAATGATCCGGCTGTTCAACGAGCGATCCCCTGGCCAAAAAATTTGCGCGCCCTCCACGAGAACCACGCGTACCTAGAGGCTGAATTTGAAACCTTTAACTTGTATTTGGATGGGAAAGATTCTTCTGAAATTTCGGCTTTCCAGCTTTTTTGGTTTCAGCTTTTCTGGTTTCCGAGTTAGCAATTTTCTCGTCAAAACTTTCACGGTGCTGTACGTGACCTGGGGGCTAAGTTCAAAGTCTTTAAGTTGTACATGGGCTGGGGACACTTTTACAGTTTCAGCTCCCAGCTTTCCTGGCCCTCGGATTAGGAATTTTCCCGCCAAAAAGTACCACCGGGCTGTACGTGACGGCCACGCATGCCTTGGAGCTGGATTTGATAAATTTAAGTCCTCTATGGATTGGGGATATCCGTTTAAGATTTCAGCCTCCTAGCTTCCCTGATTCCCAAGCTAGCGGTTTTCCCGTCAGGAACCCTCACGGGGCCCTACGCGGGAACCACGCATGCCTTGGGGCTGAATTTGAAATCTTTGAGTCCTGTGCAGACGGGGAACATAGCCTCAAAATTTGGACCTTCTAACTCTCCTCGTCCTCGAGTTAGCGATTTTCCTGCCAAAATTTTCACACGTTTGCACGCGGGTCTGGGTGTATGTGAGGGTTGGTGCCGCGGTTCTGGGATGGCACTTGGCCGAGGGACCAACTGGCAAAATTCTGGTGCCGGGGCTTACTTGATTGCTGAGTTGAAATACCCGGACAGACGAATATGCACATACGCGCACACAAATATACACACACACACATACAGACAACCCCTCAACGATACGCATAAAAAGGGAAAAAGAGAACAAAAATATGCGCAACAGTTACAGCTGATGTGGAGGTCTGCATGTACGTATATGTTATGCATGTGAACATGTGTGTGTGTGTGTGTGTGTGTGTATTTGTGCACGCATGTATGTATGTATGTGATAGGATTACACTGTTTCTTGAGGATTTTGCGATCGAGAGACAAAGCAGTAAAAACTGGTTTGTAATGATTTCTCTTTGTGAAAGACCCAAATGCATTCATGCTGTTGCCACGTGTGACGTATGCGTAGGGCTCTGTAGGCGTTAATTCGCTGGCTTCCCTCTCCCACATCATCTACTTCATCTGCAATTTGGGTCAAACACTGAGGACCATCGACGATAGCACGGTAGTCTGTGGAGCTGCTATTAAGCTTGGCCCGGATTGGTCCAAGCTACCAATTCTGCTCAAATCGGCGTCGCTGAGTCCGGAAATGAGCCGAACAGGCGCAACTGTACCGTCGAAATGGCAGAACACAGCAAGGCATGCGTATGCTCAGGCCCCCGACGTCACTATGAATATTTCCACGTAAGCCACACTTCTAGTGTGCCCTGTGCTTTTCAAATCTGAGTTCCCCGAAATGCGCATCTCAATCTTGCAATGCCCCTCACCAGTCAGAACGGCCTCACAGCGTAACAACTGCGGTAGAGCTGACAGGCAGTACCCATTACCTTACACGATGACTAACACAAAATGGCCAACGATCACTTATCCGAAGGACAGCCCCACCAAAAGCCGGGAAAACGGATTTTTATGTTGCCGGTAATGTCTGTCTGGAGAAGGAGGTGCAAGAAGAAGCGTGGGGGTGAAGGTTCTGGGCGGCCATTCCCATGTTCTTCCTCAGTATCACCCACCGAATAAATGTCCCAGCAGCGGAGATTGCATTGCGATAACCGCCGAATGAAGTCATGCATTTCTTCGTCGCTGTCGTCGTTGTTGTTGTCCTCCTTGTCGTCGTCGTCTTCGTTGTCTTCGCCGTCTGCACTGCTGCCGCGAATTGGTGCGCGCGCATGCTCCGCTGGTTTTCTTCATGTCTTGCAGCGCCGATTCCAGCAATTTTTCTTGGAACTGCGTGTTTTGTAGTTAGCTTTTGACGACGTTTTTAGACCTGATGGCACTTGTGTTATGTGAATGTTATGAGCAATGGTCAGTTCTCGATGCTGACCACATCCGCTTTACGCGACTGGTCTGCACTCTGTCAGTCAAAACGAAATCGTCGACAACATTCGCCAGCCGGTCCATCTTCCGCCGGTCCTTTTCAGCGTTACTGTACTTCTGTGAAAAACAAACACTTTCACGCAGTTGCGCGTTTTTACGGTGCGCTGCTGCGAGCTCACTGCGCGCAGAAAAGTGCGCGAGTCGATTTCAC